TTTTTGTATTTTTAGTAGAGATGGGGTTTCACCATGTTAGCCAGGATGGTCTCAAATCTCCTGATCTCGTGATCCACCCGCCTCAGCCTTCCAAAGTGTAGGGATTACAGGCGTGAGCCACCACACCCGGCTGAAATGCAGTTTTATACATAAAGAACCACCTTGCCCAAGATGCCAATAGTACTCACTTTGAAACACTATAAAAAGGTCTACAACATTACAAATTTGCATCTTAAAAAAATTCTCCATTATGTTAGTTTAGAGGACTTAGAAGGCATTCTAAAGAGAGTGGGGAGAAGGCAGGAGAGTGAAATACATAGGGACTCCCATATGTTGGCAGAGAACATGGCCTCAGAATTTCATGGCTCTATGGCGTTTCAGCTGGCTTATCTGCCAGCACTTATTTCAACATTAGGATCTGGGACTTGACTTGGCAGTTGTTCGTGACACAGTTGTAGTACTACTCACTCAGCTAGGAATAACAAAGGTGTAGACTTTCTCTTTTTTCCTGTTTTAGACAAAGGTCTCACTCTATTGCCCAGGCTGGAGTGCAGTAATGTGATCATAGCTCACTGCAACCTCCATCTCCCAGGCTCAAGTGATCCTCCTGACTCAACGCCTCCCCCAGTAGCTGAGACTACAGGCACACACAGCACCATGACTGGCTAATTTTTTTTTGGTTTTAGTAGAGATGAGGTCTTGCTGTGTTGTCCAGGCTGGTCTTGAACTTATGAGCTCAAGCAATCTTCTCACCTTGGCATCCCAAAATGTTGGGATTACAGGCGTGAGCCACTGTGCCTGGCCAATAAAGACTTTGGACTGATGTAATATTATTCAGTCATATAAAGACAAAATGTAAATAAAATGGTTAAGTGTCCTCCTCAGTTGCAGAATAGACCTCAGTTGCCAGAAAGACATAACTTTTAAAAATCTTATTTAGTTTTGGATGGTTTGCTCTTGTTGCCCAGGCTGGAGTGCAGTGGTGTGATCTCGCTCACCTTCCACCTCCTGGGTTCAAGCAATTCTCCTGCCTCAGCCTCCCAAAGTAGCTGGGATTACAGGCACCCACCACCACACCCAGCTAATTTTTGTATTTTTAGTAGTGATGGGGTTTCACCATGTTGTCCAGGCTACTCTCTAACTCCTGACCTCAGGTGATCCACTTGCCTTGGCCTCCCAGAGTGCTGGGATTACAGGCGTGAGCCACTGTGCCTGGCCTACAGTTCATTTTATTAAAATAATAATAATAATAATAAAGATGGAGTCTCACTATGTTGCCCAGGCTGATCTTGAACTCCTGGCCTCAAACGATTCTCCTGCCTTGGCTTCCCAAAGTGCTGGGATTACAGGTGTGAGCAACTACATCCGGCCTTGAATCCTTTTTTATCTAAGATTTTCCGACATTGTCAAATTGTGTAAGGTAAATTTCTACTTTGTTCTCTAGAATCCATTCTCCCCATTTTCCTTAATAAAAATACAAATGGTTCCCATTTCCTCCTCCATTTCCCAGCTTCCTTGCTGCGTAGGTATGGCCCACGTGACTTGACCTATGGACTGTGTAAACTGATGTGTGCAACATCAGCTTTTCCTCCCTTCTTTTAAATGAGGCTTCTTCCCTCTCCATGCTTTCTCCCTTTTCACCCTTACTGGGAAGGATGACAGCAGGCAGCCACCTTAGACCTACAGTGGCCGCTTGGAATGTTCCACCAGCTGGATCCTTAAGGTGAGCCACCTACTCACTTTTATCTTATTTAAGCCAACGTATTTTGGAGAAATTAATTTTCCTGCCATTTTTTTCATATGCTGGCTGCTAACTCCAAATAAGAGAAATGACATCTGGTCTCAACATAAAAATCAGTAATGAGGTGGGGCATGGTGGCTCATGCCTGTAATCTCAGCACTTTGGGAGGCCGGTGGGTGGATCACTTCAGGCCAGGAGTTAAAGACCAGCCTGGACAACCTGGTGAGACCTTGTCTCTACTAATGCAAAAGAATAGCCAGGGGTGGTGACACATACCTGTTATCCCAGCTACTCAGGAAGCTGAGGCATGAGTCGCTTGAATCCAGGAGGTGGAGGTTGCAGTGAGCCGAGATTGCACCACTGTACTTCAGGCTGGGTGACAGAGCAAGACCCTGTCTCAAAAAAAAAGAAACAACAGTAGTGGGAGAAACTTGAATGTAGCAGACCTCCATTTATATATGTAGGTCACAGATACATACGTATACATACTGTACAAAAAAATAAACTTGTTTTTATAAGCTGAATACATTATGAACAGGCTAATCTTGAGCAGTTTAAAAAAAGTTAACTGTGGCGGGTGCGGTGGCTCACACTGTAATCCCAGCACTTTGGGAGGCCGAGATGGGCGGATCACGAGGTCAGATCAAGACCATCCTGGCTAACACAGTGAAACCCCATCTCTACTAAAAAAAAGGTTAACTGTTAGGCTTTGAAAAGAGGTGAGGCTGGCCGCAGTGGCTCCTTAGTCCCCCATGCTGTCACCACAGGCTGGTGGTCGGGTCATGACATCAGGAGTTTAAGACCAGCCTGGCCAACATGGTGAAACCCCATCTCTACAAAATACAAAACTTAGCTGGCATGTGTTTGCCTGTTCCCAGCTACTAGGGGAGCTGAGGCAGGAGGGCTGCTTGAACCTGGAGGCAGTTGCAAGTGAGCTGAGATCGTGCCACTGCACTCAGCCCATGGGAAACAGAGAGCGAAGACTCAGTCTCAAAAAAGAAAGAAAAATGAGGAAAAAAGGGTGAGAGTGGGAGCTTTATTTATGTTTAATATGTTTAACACAATTTCAATGTATATTCTTGTGTTCAATACAGTTAATATCTACAGAACGAACAAAATTCGGTCTCATACATCTATCTGTCCTTTCCTTCTTCCGCCACGTTGAATACCACAAAGGGAAACAGGCTTCTTGGTTTTATAATTTCTTTTTCTTGAGCGCTGTCCTTTGATGTTAACAATATATGGCAAGAGAGAGGGCGGGGCCGGTCAAGCATTCCCTTCAGGTGTATAACACAGATCACAGTCTGTCCTTAACATTAGGTGTTACTGAAACCCAACCTATGCAGACACGTGACACAACACAAAAGGCTGTTAGCAGTCATCTTATTAAAAATACCAAACCAAAGCTGAAAATGGAGATATCAGAGAGAAGGCTGTCACTCTCTTTCACTCTCTTATTATTTTATTATTTTTAAAGAAACTATCTTGCTATGTTACCCAGGCTGAACTCAAGTTCCTGGGCTCAATCGATCCTCCTGCCTCAGCCTCCTGAGAAGCCAGGGGAACAGGTAGGCACACCTTATTTTAAAAAAGCATACAATACGTTTGAAGAAGTACAAAGTTATTTTCAAATAGGCTGTATTTTATGAATAAACTAGTATGTATACCTTAAAATAATCAGCTTTCATCAGTTAAGGCACTTTTCATATTAAAAAAATTGTCAGTAGGCGCTTTATTCACTTTTTGTTTTTTTTTCTGAGATGGAGTTTGGCTCTCGTTGTCCAGGCTGGAGTGCGATGGCGTGATCTCGGCTCAACGCAACCTCCACCTGCTGGAGTTCAGCCCGATTCTCCTGCCTCAGTCTCCCGAGTAGCTGGGATTACAGGCATGCGCCACCACGCCCGGCTAATTTTGTATTTTTAGTAGAGACAGGTTTCTCCATGTTGGTCAGGCTGGTCTCAAACTCCCAACCTCAGGTGATCCGCCTGCCTTGGCCTCCCAAAGTGCTGGGATTACGGGTGTGAGCCACTGCACCGTCCTTTTTTCACTTTTTAAAAAGTGCAGCATAAAATTACAGAGAAAACTTGATGTCTGCCACTGCTTCAGATGCCCCCGTCCTTCTTTTAACATAATATCTTCCAGCAACAAGGAGGAAATCCTGCCATTCGTTCTTTTCCACCCATTGGAACCTTCCAATGAAATAAAGACATTTACAAGTTCAAATTAAATTTCTTGGAACTCTAACATTAAGTAAATCACTGATAAAGTTAATTCTTACAGGATCAATAATAAAATCACTGTCTTCAACTGTTGAAAAGAACGTGCAATCACTTCTGGGGTCAAATGAAAAGGAAGGGAACTCTGTGATGGGATAAAACCTACAAATCTCAGGGCCCTGGGCCACACATTGAGCAAGCACCTGGCCCGGCAGCCTCAGGACAGGAGAATTGTGCTTCACTGACACTGTTTTTAGAATCCTCCACAGGGCTTCACATAGATTAATGTTGAGCATTAAGGCACGGTCCTTCCAAGTACCTCAGTTCTTACAAGTGTAGCCATCAAGATTAATGCCTGGTCTTTATGGATTAAGGGTCCATATATAATGGATAAGATTTAGTTTTATGTTTGAGTGTTTCCATGATGAGAAGTAATTGAGTTTTTTTTTTTTTTTTTTTGAGATGGAGTTTTGCTCTTGCTGCCCAAGCTGGAGTGCAATGGCACGATATCAGCTCACTGCAGCCTCCGCCTCAGGGCTCAAGTGATTCTCTTGCCTCAGCCTCCCGAGTAACTGGGATTACAGGTGTGTGCCACCATGCCAGGCTAATTTTTGTATTTTTAGTAGAAACAGGGTTTCACCATGTTAGCCAGGCTGGTCTTGAACTCCTGACCTCAGGTGATCTGCCCGCCTCGGCCTCCCAAAGTGCTGGGATTACAGGCCACTGTGCCTGGCCGTAACTGATAATTTATTCATCTATTCATTAGCAAATCTCTCCTGTGTTTAGCACTAAGAACACAAAGATAGATTTTGCAGTATGGTTTCTGCCCCCAAGGAGATCAAAGGGGTAAATAATATGTAAGCAAATGCAAGGTCAAATGTAATGTGAGGCATCTATAAGTACACTACGGTTGTGAAGGAAGGAGTAATGAATGTATTCCAGTCAAAGGAAAAGCGTTAGCAAAGAAGCAATATATATATAAAACAAACAACAACAAAAACAAATAAGCAATTATAGGCAATATTTTGAGAAATGAGTCAAAGTTATTCGGTGGAAAGATATTCTCGGTCAGCACAGGTATAGATAAAAACTGGAAAAAGGATGAGTAGGTTCAGGGAACTGTAGCTTCATTGTCAAAGTATGGTGTGTGTGTGTGTATGTGTGTGTGTGTATGTGTGTGTATTAGTGATGAGGCTATCCAGTTTATACAACTTTTTTTTTGCAACAATGTCACTATTGGGCACTCAAAATGTATTTCTAGTGACACTAAGCAGCCATATTTAAATTTTCTTTTCTTTTTTTTTACAGACAGAAGGTTTCACCCTGTCACCCAGGCTACAGTGCAGTGGTATAATCATGGCTCACCACAGCCTCCTACTCCTGGGCTCCCGGTGGTCACTCCTGCCTCAGCCTCTCGGAGGCGGGGACTACATGGACTACAGGTGCATGCCACCATACCTGGCTAACTTGAGCAAAAATTTTTTTTGAGATGGAGTCTCTCTCTGTCACCCAGGCTGGCGTGTAGTGGCGTGATCTTGGCTCACTGCAACCTCTGCCGCCCGGTTCAGCGATTCTCCTGCCTCAGCCTCCTGAGTGGCTGGGATTATATGCACCCACCACCACACCTGGCTAATTTTTGTATTTTTTTAGTAGAGATGGGGTTCACCATCTTGGCCAGGCTTCAGTCTTGAACTCCTGACCTTGTCATCCATCTGCCTTGGCCTCCCAAAGTGCTGGGATTACAGGGTGGTGGCTGGCCCAAGCGTGGGCAAATTTTAATTGTCATTAATATATTTAAATTTAGATACCCACATGTGGCTAATGGCTATAGATTGGACAGTGTAGTCTAGAGAAACAACAGCTGTGTGGCTATTCTAGGATCAGTCTATATAGCGCAAATGTGCTTTATAGCCAGAATTCTCAAAGAGAATGAGGTGAGGGAAAGCTAGCTCAAGATACTGTATAACAGTTCTGTCCAACAAAGGCCTTCCTAACAGAGCTATTGGACCATTCCAGTGTATACTAACCATAACCATGCAATCATTAAGGTGTGTTGCCTTACCTGGAGTAGCATTATTGTGCATGCTTCTGATACAGAGTGTCTGCCCTGTCCAAGGAGGTGATATGCACAGGAGGGTGTTGGAAGCCCGCGACTGTAAACCAAGCTGACTGATTTCCCTTAAGAGAAAGGAAGAAGTCATTTGACCTGGTGAGAAAACTTGTCTGCATATTCAAGTGCAATCAACTATAAAAAACCCCAAAACAAAAACAGAAACCCCAATCAGACTCCCTTTATAAGTATTGGTATGGCAGTAGCTGTAAATCAAATTATACTAAGAACAGGGACACAATACTGAAGCAGTGCATTTCAGCAATTCATGTGAAATATGACTTCTTTGACAGACTCAATACTATTACAAAACGATGTCTATTATTAAAAGTAAAAGGAAATACTATCTGCTTCAATTGTCTCTGTGTAAAGTTAGGTTTAAAATATTAACATTTTATGTGCTCGTGATATGTAAGAGTGCAAGCCTGGTGTGTGCTCATGCAGTAACCACTTTGGAAGGCCGAGGTGAGGTGATCCCTTGAGCTCAAGTTTGGAGACCAGCCTGAGCAGCATTAGCATACCCCATCTCTATAAAAACACAAAAAAAGTAGCTGGGTGTGTTGATGTGTGCCTAGTCCCAGCCACTTGCGGGGCTGGGGTGGGAGGATCACTGGAGCCCAGGAGATTGAGGCTGCAGTGAGCCCTAACTATCACTGCACTCCAGTCTGGGCAACAGAGTTTCAAAAACAAACAAACAAACAAAAAACAACCAACTCCCCCAAAAACAAAAAACCAACAACCTCCCAAAACGAAATATATAAGGGTTCTAAGTGTGTAAAGCAAAATTTCTCACAAAGTATGAGCAAACACAAAACCCAAGAAATGTGCTATAGTGATGGCCTGTAAGTTGTATTGTGTTGTTGGACATATCCATGTTTCATTTTTCTTTTTTCTCTTCACTTTAGCAAAGGGAGAACAATTCTATAGACACTCCAAAATCTCTAGATGCTTGATAAATAAATACCAAACAAAAAGTATATGCATAAAAACACACATATCATAGGGAAACAAAAGTGTGATTAATTTAATGCCTGTAACCCTGTACCTAAAGGTTTGACTTTATCCCATAGATTTGACTCTGTCCCACAGAATAGGGATGGTATCTTGTTTTAAATGCCAAGCTGTGTGGTACTCAATTGAAAACATAGTTTTAAGACCTAGCACTTTTTGGGGGATGGGAGTAAGACATTTATTTTCTCCAAGTTTTTTTTTTTGGGATGGAGTCTCACCCCATCACCCAGGCTAGAGTGCAGTGGTGCGATTTCAGTTCACTGCAGCCTCCGCCTCCCAGGTTCAAGTCATCTTCCTGCCTCAGCCTCTCTGGTAGCTGGGGATTAAAGTGCGCCACCACGCCCAGCTGATTTTTGTATTTTTAGTAGAGATGGGTTTTCACCACGTTGACCAAGCTGGTCTTGATCTCCTGGCCTCAAGTGATCAGCCTGCCTCAGTCTCCCCAGTGCTGGAATTACAGGCGTGAGCCACCATGCCCAGCCATCCCCAAGTTTTTATTACAGAAATTTTTAAACATAAAAACAAATTAAACCCTATACAATCATGGCTTAGTTATCAACATTTTGTCAGTTTTGTTCATATATCTGCTTCCTTAAAGTGAATCCCAGTATTTTAAAATCAGTTTTTAATGGTACCGACTTTACTTACCTGCAGGGAAATCTGTCGGCCTATAGCACCCAAAACAGAACCATTCCTGGTTTAAGCACAAAGTTCTTGGAACAATGGACTGTGTTAGCAAACAATATTTACTTCTTTTTCTGTTAGAAGATTTAAAATCTGTCATAAACAAATGGCAGATTTTTTAGAGAAAATACTTTCATTGAAAATATATTATGATTTACCTGTAAAATAAAAAGTGAAGAAAAATATGCCAGACTTCAAAATAAACTAAATTATGTCAGTTTGCTACACATCAAATTTATATAGATTCTTCCTGTCTAAATTAATCTCCATCTGATGGCTCTACCTTTGTTTTACAACTTAATCTACAGTAATGGCAAAATAACTTTATAGGTGTATGACACTTTCCTATGTCAGCAGCATTCCCTAAATGTCAAAATTAATGTGAACCTGAAAACATGTTGATTCAATACCAAGATAGAAAATATATGTTCTCCTTATCAAGGCTTGCTTGTGGGGAGTAGCAATTTCAGCTTAAAGTAATAGTATATATGACCTCATGTCACAAGCGGTAAGTATGCATGCATTAAATGCAAATAGATCACCCCATTCTAAGGCAATCAGTCAGCTGAAGAACATATATAATTCAGTGTTAATTTCCTTATTTATCCCAAATATTCAGCAGAGAATGAGAAAAGTTATAAATCTATGCCTTATAACAGGGTTATAATTTATCCTATAATTTATCACAAATCCTTCAAGGATGACAAGTTCCTAGAGAGACTAGAGAAAAATAGAAAAGGAAAGACAGAAGTACAAGATTCTGGAAAGATTTAGGAATCAAATTCTGGTTAAAAAAGAATACTGAAGGTACAAAATTGGACACAAAACTTGTAAACTGCTTTTCAAGAATAATGAGGCTGGGCACAGTGGCTTACGCCTGTAATCCCAGCACTTTGGGAGAGCTGAGGCGGGCGGACCACCTGTGGTGGAGTTCAAGGGCTCCAGCCTGACCAGCATGGAGAAAGCCCATCTCTACTAAAAATACAAAATTAGCCGGGCATGGTGGTGCACACCTGTAATCCCAGCCACTCGGGAGGCTGAGGCAGGAGAATCGCTTGAATCCGGGAGGCGGAGGTTGTGGTGAGCCGAGATCGCGCCATTGCCCTCCTGATCTGAAGCGCGACAGAGCAAGGCGCAAGTCCTCAAAAAAGAAAAAAAAAGAATAACAAGAAAATAAAATAGAAGCGATACATCACAAGAAAATAATAAGGGAGCTACAAACAGTTTTCTTCATTATTTGTGTTTGAAAAAGACATGACTAAAAATACATTTGCAAGTCAGTCCATGGTAGCTCATGCCTGTAATCCCAGGACTTCCAGAGGCAACTATGAGCCAGATCGCAGGCTCAGAGTTTCCTTTTTGAGATGGAGTCTCACTGTGTCACCCAGGCTGGAGTGTAGTGGTACGATCTTGGCTCACTGCAACCTCTGCCTCCCAGGTTCAAGCAATTCTCCTTTCTCAGTCTCCCAAGTAGCTGAGACTACAGACATGCGCCACCATGCTATTAACCACACAATGTCCCCCAGTAAACACAGTTTTGTCATTGGCCAAATGTCAAACTCCTGACCTCAAGTGATCCACCTGCCTTGGTCTCTGAAACTGTGATAAGAGGTATGCGCCATCACGCCCAGCTGAGCTCAGAATTTGAGACCAGCCCCCTGGGTAACGGCAAAACCCCCACCTCTACTGAAAAATACAAAAATTAGCCGGGGTGGTGTGTCTGTAGTTTCTAGTTACCCTGAGGCTGAGGCGGAGGATCGCTTAAGCCAGGAAGCCCAGAAGTTACAGTGGTAGAATTCCCACCACTGCCTCCAGCCTAGACCAGACTGGGCAGCATAGCAAGAGATCCTGTCTGGCTACAAAAACTAGAAACAATTAGTTGGACATGGTGGTGTGTACTTGTGGCCTAGCTACTTGAGAGGCTGAAGTGGGAAGAGTTAGTTGAGCCAGGACTTTGTGTCAGTTACTTGATCATGCCACTGCATTCCAGCCTGTAGGCAGCAGTGGCAAGATCTCAGCTCACTACTAACCTCTGCCTCCCCAATAAGTGTATCAAGTGATTCTTATGCCTCAGCTCCTGAAGTAGCTGGGATTACAGGCATGCACCACCATGCCCAATTTTTTGTATTTTAAGTAGACCTACAGTTTTGGCATGTTGCCCAGGCTGATCTCAACAGGCTCAAGCAATCCTCCCACCTCCGCCTCCCAAAGTGCTGGGACTACAGGCGCCAGGCATGGTGCGCCCAGCCCTGAGTCTTAATACTTCCATTTCACAACAGAATGCTTGGTTCAGTTTTAGGAAACCCTGGTTTAAGACAGCAAATAGTGTATCTGTAAACTAACAGAGAAGAAACTACCAATTTTTGACATTTCTTATCTAAAAATTTGGGGTTCTCATTCTGCTGTCTAGAATATTTTGCAAATTCTTGCTACTGACACAACTGTTTCATAAATTATATGACTTAATGCTGCTATGCCTGATCTAACAGCATCTGAGAGGGAAGAATTAGTCTGGGCTTGGTGGCTCACATCTGTAATCCTAGCACTTTGGGAGGCCGAGGTGGGTGGATTACCTGAGGGCAGAGGTTCAAAACCGACCTGGTGAAACTCGTCTCTAGTAAAAATACAAAAGTAGCGGGTGTGGTGGCATGCCTCTACGGCAGCTACTTGGGAGGCTGAGGCAGGAGAATCGCTTGAACCCAGGAGGCAGAAGTTGCAGTAAGCCAAGATCATTGCGCCACTGCACTCCCAGCCTGGGGAGACAGTCAGACTCCGTCTCAAAAAAGTTGTGGGGAGGAAGAATTAGTTCATTAAAGCTAAAAGTGATAGAATATTATTAGAAAGCAGTTCTACAGAACTTTGGACTACTAAGGAAGAAAGATGGCATTAGGAAATTATTCTAGGAGGGCAATAAAAGTTAAAGGTCTGTATGATTCAATGACAGGGAACTGCAAATGAATACAATTCTGAGAATGTAACTGCTTAGGTGTTACTGATGAGCCAAGAAAAGTACCTAAGAAACCAATGTGGTTTTGTAGGAGACACAGAGATATTAGATAATCAGAAGGCCAGTCAATGGCAGTTCAAAGTGATTAATGAATCTCTTGTGAGGCTGTATCCTGGATGCACATTTGAGTCAATCAGCCAGGTCTGAATGAAGATCAAACTGCAAATATAAAGTAATGAGATTTAATGGTGTTGTAGAGTAAGATATGGGCTGAATTTAACAAGACAAAGTCAAAGTTACCTATGAGGCCCAAAGTTGTCCATGAGCAGTTGGATTAAAGAGAAGCAGCAAGACAAGACAGTAAGAGTTAATGCTATTCTTTTTTTTTTTTTTGAGACGGAGCCTACGCTATGTCACCCAGACTGAGTACAATTCAACATGTCTCAGCTCACTGCAAGCACTCCGCCTCCTGGAGTTCATTTTATTCTCCTGCACTCAACCTCCCCAGTAGATGAGATTACAGGCGCCTGCCACCGTGCCTGGCTATTTTTGTATTTTTAGTAGAGAGGCGGTTTTGCCGTGTTAGCCAGGATGGTCTTGATCTCTGACCTTGTGATCTGCCTGGCTGCTTCCCAAAGTGCTGGGATTGTCGAGCCATATGCCCAGCTGGATTAATGCTATTCGAAATCATGCTCACCTGAGAGCACTGCGTTCTCAGTGTCAAACTTTAAGAACAAACATAGAAAACATTCAGGCTGGGTCAATGAGAATAGCCTGTTTATCAGGGAGCACAGCTGTAGGAAATGACAAATAGTGAGATTGTCAGCACAGTAAATGCTCAATGTTTGCTGGATGAACTAATGAAAAGAGAAAGAAAAAGGGAGGGATAGGTGAAGAAGAAGATGATGTTACACTTTAAAATATTTCAAAGTCTGGCAGGAATAGGTATTACGTTAGTCCCATTATGGCTTTAGAACAATGGGTGCATGTTACAGGGAGACTGTTCAGCTCAGTACACTCAATACAAAGAGAGAGGTCAAAGACCCAAATAGAGGTTACACCTTGGAAGGTGACGGGCACAGTTCAGTTAATGGTGAGTCACTCCTTTCAGTTCAAGATGGAGAGGCCCCTGATGGATATGTTATAGGGGTAATTCAAGCAGGAACTAGGGAGGTGGACTTCAGTGATATTTATGTTTTTTTCCAATCTCAAAACCTAGGCTTCTGTAAATGTTTCCCTAACTAAGGTAACAATCACAATGATAAGAAATAAGTTGGTTGTCAGCGTGAAGTCTATCCAAATGAACAGAGAACTTGAGGCGTACAGATTCACCCCATGCAGCTTAGCTTTTTATGAATGAATCAGAACTGAGTCTAAAATGGGTACTCTTCTTTTCCTGTTTTTCTGCCAATTAAGACAGCAGGTACTTGTACAATTGAGTAAATGTTTCAGAGGCTGATGTATTCTAGTAATAAAACTCCAGAATTTCCCATTTAGCTGGCTCTGCATGCATTACCTCTTTCTCTATTGCAGATTCCCTGTCTTGATAATCGGCTATATATGAGCAGCAAGCAATATAAACCCATTAAAAAAGAAAAAGAAAGTAAATGTTTCTAAAGGAAACCAAATATACAGTTTTCTTTTTGTAATTCCAGGGGTGTCATAAAACCAGTGGGCATCTTTCACATCTTGTGCAGTCAATTCTACTTGTTTGGTGGATTTTATGTGACACCTAACAGAGTTCATTTTCCATGTCAAGGCAAGTGAATCAGCATCAAACTCAAAGGAACTGTATCCTTCCGTTCTTCTGAATACAAAAATATCCTTCCAACTCTTCCTAGAGCAGTTATAGTAAGGTTATCAGTCACTCTTTAATCTTTTGACTCCAGACATAATTTTTGTAGCTCCCTCAAACAAGTTACTAGATTACAGTGTAGGAAGTGAGACAACAATGATACTTTTTTTCTTCAAAAGCAATGGAGTCAAACTCTTGCAATAATCAAGTGTGTGGCTGGTGGTGTCACGTTGAGTGGCAGGTGAGTGTGTGTGGAAATCAAACTGTTTTAAAGAAAGCCTGAAAAGATATACCAAGGAAAGACAGACAATGTAATCTAAAGCTGCTGCATGGAGTAAAAACTTTTACTACCTGTACCGCTCTGGGTTTCCAAATAGTAGCCTTAGTGCTAAAAGGCCTCTTTGTTGCAGAATGAGGAAGGCAGTCTCTCCCCACAAAAACTGGCTAGCCTTGGACAACCATATTTCACGTTGCTTAACAAAGAATTTTAGCATAATACCAACTAGGGTTTTCCCATAGAGGATGCTTACCTACGACATAACCATGCTTTTTCAGGACATTAAGCTGATTTTATTCATATACTAAGATCTTCTTCAGCTTGAGTTGAATCTTTTTTAAGTCTTTGATGTCTTTTAAACATTCTGTAAGGAGTTGGGTTGCAAATGGGAAACTTTAGAAGGTTTAATGTAGTACCTGATATACAGAATAAATACATCTTTAGAAAAGGGAATACGGGGAAGAAAATAGACATTTTGAGATCTACACACTGTGTCGGTTACTATAATAAAATATGAATTACTGACACACTTTACAAATGAAATAGGTTAAGAGATTAGCTCACAGAAACCAGAAATTTGAATCCAAAATCTGTAGGCCCGATTTCTTTCAATTTTCATCACATTACCATTCAGTATAAAGTAATATTTGTGTAAAATTCAAAGTGCAAAAGACAGAGAAGAACTGACTTACTAAATGAAACTCTGGTTCAAGGAACAAATAGGGCAGTTTTGTAAACTTAAATTTAAACCTGGCTGGGCGTGGTGGCTCACATCTGTAATCCCAGCACTTCGGGGAGTCCCAAAGCTGGTGGATCACTTGAGGTCAGGAGTTTGAGACCAGCCTGGCCAACATAGTGAAACCCCCTCTCTACTAAAAATATAAAAAAATTAGCTGGGTGTGGTGGTGTGCGCCTGTAGTCCAGCTACTCGGGAGGTTGAGGCAGGAGAATCGCTTGAACCCGGGAGGCAAGGGTTGTGGTGAGGTGAGATCACCACTGCACTCCAACCTGGGCGACAAGTGAGACTCTGTCTAAAGAAAAAAAAAAAAGAAAAGGCTAGAATTACAGATGTGAGCCACTGAGCCCAGCGAAGCCACACATCAAATTGCACTAATGGGCGGGAGTGGTGGCTCACGCCTGTAATCCCAGCACTTTGGGAGGAGGAGGTGGGTAGATCACTTGAGGTCCAGGAGTTGGAGACCTGCCTGGCCAGCGTGGTGAAACCTGTTTTTACAAAGATACAAAAATTAGCTGGGCATGGTGGTGCTTACCCGTAATCTCGGGGCTTTGGGAGGCCAAGGTGGGCAGATCACGTGAGGCCAGGAGTTCGAGACAGCCTGACCCATATGGTGAAACCCCATCACTAAAAATACAAAAATTAGGCCGAGTGCGGCGGCTCCGCCTGTAATCCCCAGCACTGTGGGATGCTGAGGCGGAAGCGGATCTTAGTCAGGAGTTCCAGACCAGCCTAACCAACATGGTGAAACCCCGTCTCTACTAAAATTACAAAAATTAGCTGGGCATAGTGGCGTGTGCCTGTAATCCCGGTTACTCAGGAGGCTGAGGAGGAGAATCTCTTGAACTTGGGAGGTTGCAGTGAGCTGAGATCTCACGCCACTGAACTCCAGCCTAGGTGACAGAGTGAGGCTCTGTCTCAAAAACAAAACAAACAAAAAACCACAAATTATTTAGGTTCAGACAGTAAAAGGCCACCACTTTCTGAAACAATATACAAAGGATTACAAAGCAGATCTCCAGAACAGGAACTGTTTGTTCCTGGTCTATCTCCAGTGCCTAGTGACTGGGAACAGAGAAGTGCTCCATAACACTGTAATTAGAAAATTACCACAACACATCCTGAATTTTTCCTAGCAGTAAGCTGACACAGAAGACAGGTGTGACCAGAGTAGGGAGAGAATTTGTAAAGGGAAGGGGTACAGGCAGCCCGTAGCGGACATTAAGGGAGGATGCTAGTCGGTGCCTCAGCTAGGACAGACGTCACCTTGTCAGAAAACGAACCTCCTAAAACTCACCTGGCCAAGGGGAGATGGTGGCTCTGTCGATGGCCTCGGAGCCCTTGGCGGTGCAGTAATCGGACTCCAGGAGCGTGTTAAAGAGTGGATTGCCGGCGTTCGTGGCGCCCACTAAGTAGACGTCCCCACCCGGTAGCGCCAGGGGCGCTGAAGGGCGAAATCAACTCTTCCACTCCATAGCCAAGTCTTGGCGCTGATCGATCGCACGTCTCCTGACCACGGTGCGGGACAGTTCGGCGGTTCGTTCTCCCCGTCCTGTGGCTCGTTCTTGACGAAGTCTGTGGCCTGGTGGCCAGGGGCCCAGCAGAGGCCCGGCCCGGGCACAGTCGTCCCACAGTCGCTCCCGCAGCCTCTGCCGGTAGCCAGGAGCATCCTGGGGCAGGAGGTCCACTTTGTTTCCCAGCACGATCAGCTGCTTGGGGCCCACCAGCGCGGGCAAATTGGGCAGCAGGACGTCGGGCAGGTCGAGCAGGTCCACCACGTAGAGCGCAGGGAAGGCCCGGGCCGCCGCAACGCGGCGCTCACCAGCTCCAGGTACTGCTCGCGGCTCACCTGCAGGCGTAGAGCGCGCCGGTGGTGCACCAGCAGCCAGCATCGCTGGCACACGGTCCGCGCCAACCCGCCGTCTGCCTCCGCCGTGCGGGAACTTGTCGCAGGGCAGGTGGCCGGGCACGCCAGGGTCCTGGCAGTGCAGCTCTGCCCCGCAGCCCGAGCAGTTCACGCCGCTGGGTGGCACTGCCGCGTCCGGGTGCCCCACGACCGGGTGCTCCCGGGGCCTGGTCCATGGGTTTTGCTGTCGCCGCTCCTCCCGCCGCTGCTGCCCTCGTCGCTCCTCCTCCTCCTGCTGTTGCTGGAGCTGTTGCAACTGCTCTCGCCCGGGTGAGCTCCGGCTCCGGCTCCGGGATGTACTCTGGGAACAGAAAACGCTCCTGCATGTCAGCACCTTCTCCAAAGCCCTCGACTGTCCACGAGGGTCATAAAGAAGCTCGCGTCCCAGACTCGATGAGTGCTGGAAGGAGGCGGCGGCAGCCCGCGCTTCCTCCCCAAGAGCGGCTCCGAGCCATGGCGCGCTGCCGTGGGAGCGAATCCACGAAAGAAAGGCTCAACAGCCTGAACTGCAGGCGAGCGGGCAGCATGAGGAAGTAGCTCGGGCAAGGGCGGAGTCACAAGCGCGCACGCGTACTAGGGCCAGGCGACGCGCGTGTATTAGACCCGAGACGAAAGCGAGTGGGTGCCCAGGGAGCTGTCCTGGTTAGTTTTGCGTCTAATCTCGTGAGTTCTCGCGATTTAAGCGCCAAGACCCGAGAACCTACCGCAAAGAAGCTATGACAAAGGCACTGGGGGCACTGAGGATTAGGCTAGATGGGCAGAAAGAAACGATGAGCGTTTTGGGTTTTTTCACTTTCAGGCTTAACGCCTTACTGCCAGCCCAAGCCGCCCGTAATAAATCACGGTAAAGGAGCTTCCGGGCCAGGCGCGGTGGCTCACGCCTGTGATCCCAGCGCGGGGAGGCCGAGGCGGGCGGATCATGAGGTCAGAGATCGAAACCATCCTGGCTAAGACTGTGAAACCCTGTCTCTACTAAAAATACAAAAAATCAAACCGGGCGTGGTGGCGGGCGCCTGTAGTTCCAGCTACTCAGGAGGCTGAGGCAGGAGAATGGCGTGAACTCGGGAGGCGGAGCTTGCAGTGAGCCGAGATCGCGCCGCTGCACCTCAAGCCTGGGCGACAGAGCGAAACTCCGTCTCAAAAAAACAAAACAAAACAAAACGGAGCTTCCGGTCGGGCGCGTGGCTGGAAACGATGGCAGTAAGCAGTCACCGCAATCTGGCACACGGAAATTGGTGGTGCCTGGGATCGAAACAGCCCAGCAAGCGTGGAATTATCTCTACCCAAAAATACTTACAAGTGGTGGCGGTGGTGCGCTGTAACCTAATAATATTGGCGGTGGGAGAATCGCTTGAACCCAGGAGGCGGAGGTTGCAGTGAGCCGAGATCGCCCACTGCACTCCAGCCTGGGCAACAGAACGAGACTCCATTTCAAAAAATAATAAATAAATAAAAATAAAAGATGCTTCGTGTTTGGTCTTTATAAAGGCAAATCAATTGAGCATCCCAATGTCGCGGATTCACAGAACGAGCACTTTTTATTAATAAGTATACTTGGCTTTGTTTTCAGGTGTCGTTATTTGTGCAACGACATTGAAAAACAAGCAGAAATAAAACATTAACGGGACGGATGCGACAGCAGATTGCGGGAGCTGTCCTCTCAATCGACCACCGGCAGCGGCGACCCTGAATTTGCGCGTATAGCCCAACTCCCTTGCAAGCACAATTTGCGCGAGCGCAGATCACTAGCACGGCGCCCCTGTAGGCGGCCTCTTGTGTGGACACACAGTATTCTGGGAACGTCGGAGACAGAGTTACTTGGTCTTTAGCTCCCGGCGCTTCATTGCTTCTGCGCGCTTTTTGTCTTTGGTTTCGAGTTAGGAGCTCCGGGAACCGTTTGGCAATATGTACGACGCGGATGAGGTAGGTGACACATGCCACGGCGGTCAGCCGGAAGCAGGAACTGATTGGATTGGGGATTGGGACAACCCTCGCCGGCCACGCACAGTCCTATCAGCGACCACACCTTTCAGGCCGGGAATGAAACTGGGGTAGGGAGGCGGAGGGTGCAGAGACACAGATAATAATGTTCCCGGTTAGGTTCACTGCTGCTCTCTGCACTTTCTCGTTCCTTGGATCTGATCTCTTCTGTAGTGAAGTAGCGTGCAGAACCGTAAGATAAATTCTGTGGTTTTGAATTTGAGTAAAGAGCACCCTTTAAAATTTTTTCTTAAAGCCACAGTCGACTGACTGAATAGCTGAAGTGTTGAGTGTCAGCCTGTATGTCCAGGCAGTGTGGAAGGCCCTGGAAATATATCCGGGACAGAGAATATCGGAGGGAGGAATTGGGGACTCGGTTTAGTCTGACATTTCTTCATGCTGTTTGTAAGTCGAAGTAAATTGTATTAAAGGATGGCGTTTAAATTTCCTCTTCTCACAGTGTCACAGTTCTCACAATGTCACAGTTCTCAGGTAATGTATTCTGCTACACTGGACCAATGTATAATATCTGTTTCTTGACGCATATAGAATTCTTAGTAGTGGCCGAGCGCGATGGCTCCCACCAGCACTTTGGGAGGCCGAGGCGTGCAAGATCGTTTGAGGCCAGCCTGACCAACATGGGGGAAATCCGCATCTACTAAAAATACAAAAATTAGCCGAGGTGTGATGGCGCGCCTGTAATCCCAGTTATTCGGGAGGCTGAGCCACATCGCGAGCCCAGGAGGCGGAGGTTGCAGTGAGCTGAGATTGCGCCTCTGCACCACAGCCTGAATGACAGGTAACCTTGTCTTGAAAAAAAAAAAAAAAGAATTCTTAGTTGAATCTAGTGTATTTTCGTAGCTGCCTTTTCCATTCTCCATATCTACTAATGCAAATCTTATTTTCTTCTAGCTCTCAATTCCTTGGCCACCCCTTACATCTCCTCTCTTTATTCCCTCAGCTACTTCTGATAAATGAGATGGAAAAATTGAAGCAAAAGCTTAAACTTTAAAAGTTTTTTTTTTTGAGAGATAGGGTCTGGCCATGTTGCCCAGGCTGTTCTCAAACTCCTGAGCTCAAGCCATCTGCCTGTCTCAGCCTCCCAAAGTGCTGGGATTACAGCGTAACCACTGTCACCCAGCCAAAAACTTAAACTTTTAAAGCTGTTTAAACTTCTGTCTCATTTGTTTTTTTTTTTTTTTTTTTTTTTTGAGACGAGTCTTTGCTCTGTCGCCCAGGCTGGAGTGCAGTGGCACGAACTCGGCTCACTACAAGCTCCGCCTCCCGGGTTTACGCCATTCTCCTGCCTCAGCCTCCCGAGTAGCTGGGACTACAGGCGCCCGCCACCTCGCCCGGCTAGTTTTTGTATTTTTTTAGTAGAGACGGGGTTTCACCGTGTTCGCCAGGATGGTCTCGATCTCCTGACCTTGTGATCCGCCCGTCTCGGCCTCCCAAAGTGCTGGGATTACAGGCGCGAGCCACCGCGCCCCCAACCACTTCACTGTCTCATTTGTATCTTGTGTTCTAGAAATTTATTAGCATCATTATAGTACTTGTTGTTTTAACTATTATCTCAGTAGAAGAAAATTCGAAAAAGATTTTTAAAGCATAATTTTTGGCTAGGTAATATATTCTCAGCTCACAAGCCAGAAAGTTTAAAAATGTTAAAGTGGGGTGGCTGGTACGGTGTCTCACGCCTGTTATCCTACATTTGGGCTTAGTGGATGAATCGCTTGAGCTCAGCAGTTCAAGACCAGCCTGGGCAACAGGAGAACCCCTCTCTATAAAATAGAAACATTAGCTGGGGTGTGCTGGTGCTCACCTATAGTCCCAGCTACTTGAAGGCTGAGGCAGGAGGAATCATGAGCCTGGGAAGTTGACACTGCTGTGAGCCAAGAACAAAGTGAGACCCTGTCTCAAAAAAAAAAAAAAATTAAAGTGTCAGGGTCTCCTTCTTACCCACCATCTGCCCAGTTTGAACTCTCACATTGGTAACTACTGTAATAGATTTTAATCACTCCATGATTTCTTTTTTTTTCTTTTTTTGACAGTCTTGCTCTGTTGCCCAGGCTTGAGTACATTGGTTGAAATCTTGGCTCACTGTAACCTCCGTCTCCCAGGTTCAAGCAGTTCTCCTGCCTCAGCCTCCTAGTAGCTGGGATTACAGGCGTACACCAATATGCCCAGCTAATACTAGTATTTTTAGTAGAGACAGGGTTTCTCCACGTTGGCCAGGCTGATCTCAAGCTCCTGACCTCAGGTGATTCACCTGCCTCAGCCTCCCAAAGTGCTGGGACTGCAGGTGTGAGCTACTGCGCCCAGCCTCCACAGTTTCTTTATGCCTGTTTGAGCAAATATAAGTGGGTTTTCTCCTTTTTTAAAGACAGAAAGTAATATTCACACTTTTCTCCACTTGCAGATTTTGCTTAATGTATCTAGATTTTAAGTATCAGTACACAGCATCGCCCCACCCCTTCGCCCTCCTCCAGTTACTTAGTTTGTGTGGATGTGCCATAACCCAAGTAGTCTCTTGATGGATATTTGATTTATTTCTAGTCATTGTCGGGTTCAGTGCTGTAAATGAATAATCTTGTACATATAATTTACTTAAGTATGCATTTCTACATATAAAATTATCATCCAAATGATATACCTTTAACATTTGCTAGATGATGCCAAGTGACCACCATAGTGGTGATTTGTACTAGTTTTGCAATGTATAATGATCTCGTGGAAAAAAGAGTTTATCATAGTTGCTTTAGCAGTGAACCTACATTTTATTCTTGCCCATGTCCTCTGAAATGTTTATTAGATAATGTCTCATCAGTTTCAGCACTATGTGAAAATGTCAGATTTCTGTCATCCACATGGAAAGAAGTTAAACTTTTCATTTTTCCTTTTCTTCTAGTATTTTACCTTTCTCCTTTCATTCACAATAAACACAACATAATAAGCTGTCCTTGTTTCTAATTTTCATCTTTCATGTCCTTTTCATAGATTACAATATGTTTCTACTCATGCTACTGCATTAGATAGCTCTAAGATTGACAATTACTTCTCAATTGATAAATGAGATGGATATTTAAAAAATCTTATCTAAACCCTGTGGTCTTCAAAACTGTTGATGACATCCTCCCGCAAACTCACTCAACCTGGCCACATCATATTCACTTGATTCTTCTTATCGACTTTTGTTCTCATTTTCTTTCCTGTTCACATTCTCTTTGGGTGATCTCATCCATTTTCCATTGTTTAGTTACCATTTGTATGTGGATGACTTCTGAATGTATACTTCTAGTTTAAAAGCCCTGGTATCTAACTGCCACTGGCCAACTAGGATATCTCCCCAGGCTGTAACACTTGTCACTGCCTAAACTGAGCTAATTATTTAGCTATTCCCCTCCCAAAGTCACCGCCTCCTGTGTTCTCTGTCTCGGTGAAGGGCACTGTTGGCCCTCTGTATCTGTAGGTTTCACATCTGTATATTCAATTAATCTTGGATTTAAAATATTAAAAAGCTTGAGGCCAGGAGTTTGAGACCAGCCTG